TAATAATAATACAACTTCAGCTGGCACATATGTCTTCTAATTAATAAATGAAGTACTAATTTGTTTTGTTGAACGTATTTTTAAAATAAACGAACATTTTTTACTATTTTGACAAAGAATTCTGTTCATTTCAGCTCTTCAAGATGTGTGTGTGTGGACCAACAAAAGATCCAACCTCAAAACCACACTCACAGTCAACCGTATTTCTCCGATACGTGACATCTTTTCTTTTCTGGAATGAATCAAGCCAATTTCCATAAAGTGCTTTTTCTATCACAGTCAGCATATTCGTTCATGTCAAAAAAATCATGAACATAATGAAGATTAGAACACAAAACGAATATTGTTTGTAAAACTTATTCCTCGCTTCTGTATGCAGTTGATCCCATGTATTTGATTTCTTCAGCTATGCATATAGATAGAGGAAATAATATGAAACATGGATTTGCATTATACCATGTTCAACGATTAGCCTGATTGACGATGACCAAATGATACCCTATATGTGCGCAGAAAAATCTAAACAGTAATCGCAACAAGAAATTGTTTCATATGGTTGATTACTTTTAAATCGAACTCTGTTCATAAAGTAGTACTTGTTGGAGTATGAACAACCTCAACAGGAATGGTCCTGAAATTTCTAGCTTATAATAATTTTTCCTTCGAGAGATATTTAATTTCCAAGCATCATTTATACATCATGAAAGATACAAAATCTCACGTTTTTTTTTTTTGGTCATTCAATGTCTTGTTCAAGGAAGCCTATCTGCAGACAAAATCTTAACCAGAAATATTGTCATTTGATTTTTTGGCACTCGAGGATTATTCTCTATCGAATTTAATGATATAGAGTCATTTGTTCAAGTAAAAAATCTGAACATTTAGACATTAGAATTATTTTAGTCTAAAAATTTACCGGTAGAAAAAGCAATAGACGCTAGCCAGCGTAATCGTACTGTTCTGTCACAATGCCACAAATAAATGCTTGAACTAATAAAAATCATTTGTCGAACTATATATTGACAGGTGCATCATTTTACACAAAACAAAACCCACATTAAGGCCTATTGGAAAGAGCTGTAGTATTGTCTCAAAATCTAGAACTCATCCAGTGGTAATCTGTTAACTTTAGGTCTCACAGAGATCTTGATTTCCTAAGTTTGCTCTTAGTTTCTAAATGCGTTCTGTTCGTTCCAAAACAAAGTTGTTCCTCAAAATTGATTGTTAGTTTTTGTTTTCTTCAGATTATTTTTATCAACAGTTCAACAAAAATATTATCATGAGTCTACTAGACCTGGATTTACGTGATAGATGCTGTCATGAAGTCAAATATGTAGTTTCGCTTTGAAGAACTGCAATGAAGTACATGGAAGAGAAAAGTTAAACAATACGGTAACTGCAATAAGAACTTGTCTTTGAAAGAGTTGATAAAATTTTCGCTGCACAAATGTTTAACGCTTTTGAAAATGTCACTTGGTAAGACAGAAGTATCAGACGTATCTTTTTACTTCAAAACTCATTACCCACTGTGTTTCAGAAAATGAACATTGACGTAATACTGTAGAAGAGTCTTTTGTGGTATTTTCTGAGTTTTTGCTTCATATTTTTTTCCTAAGCATTTCTTACAAAATTCTGAAAAATACATGAAAAGACACTGATCTTTCGGAGAAACCTTGTAAAATATTTACAATTTTAACACAAAAGTTAATAAAATGTTTTTGAAATTCTTTCAATCAGTGTTTCTACCGTTGCAGTTGGACAGCCGAGTAGTTTTGAATTTTTTCAAATTTTTCTCGACAAGAATGTATTATTACAAAAACAAGGTTAATAGTTCTCAAGAACAAAAACATCTCTATCACATCAGTTTCGAATGGAGGCTTTGATTTGTGTTCCAATTTTTTCAAAAACAAAAGTGCTCACATTCTTTATGAACCATGCTTTACAAAACAGGATATCTTACCACATATTTGTATTGAATTGTCATAACCTGTCTCACAAATATCCTCGATTCATCTTTATTAAGTAATCTTTTTGTCAATTTTGCAACTCTTATTCTTGATATTCGAAAATCTTAGAAAAATTTCCTTTCGTCGCTAAATTTAAATACTTTTTGCTAATCATTTTCAACAATTGAAAACTAAATAACTAACACTTAAGGTAAACTTCAATAATCCAATATTGTTACCTTCAATATTTTCCAAAAATAAGACTTAAGTGAACAGTCAATTTTTAGCTGCATGAAAGCTTACGAAGATATACGAGTGTACATCGACAAAGACGCACAAATACGAAATTTCTATACAACTGACAATAACATATAAAGCAGTCCAGAAATTTGCAAATGCTTCACTTTTTCATTATATTAATCGAAAAAAGAAATTGAAGCATCGATAGAATTGAGGTTGATGGGTTTACGAAGAAAGAAGAGCAGTATCTGCATTCATCTACAGTTGTCCATGATAGTTTGTTTGTATAGGCCACTTTTATGAATCATTCGATAAGAATGCAAGAGCAAAATAAAATTATTCACTATTCTTATTTACGTTTTTTGCACATTCATGGTGAAATCTTTGTTTGTTGCCGCGCGTTACATTCAACATGTCTAATATCTCAACATTTGATTGTGTGTCAAATGAATTAATCGTTTGCATTTTTGCCTATTTGGGCTCAACACAATGTTTCCAATTATTTTTTAATTATAATGATCGCTTCAAAAAATTGGTAAAATGTTATGTGCCGTACAGTCGACGTGCACTTGACAAAGTTATCGAAAGGTTTTCAGCATTATATAGTTGGTACAAACATTTAAATTTTATAGATAGTGGTGTGACTTTCTATATAGTAAGGTGCAAGCAAGTCAAACTTTCAGTAAACATTTTTTTTCTGCTTTTTTTTACACTATTTGATAGAGCTTGAGCTGCTGATCACGAAAAACTACTTTTAAGCCTTAGTAAATACTTCCTTCCAGTCGAAAAATACAAAATACTCGAAAGGTGCCATTTTCGGAAAAAACACATCGTTTCACAAAATTTGCAAAATTTTCTACTTTATTCTTTTCTTTTGCTTCTAAAAATAATTTTTTCAGATTCAGCATCAAAAACTGGATAGGAGAAAATTCTAAAACCGACTCCAGACCCCAAACTCTATTGGTGGTGACACTTTGAATCGCGTCGAGTGAGATGCGTATAGGTCGATTTTGTAAACCTATCTAGTTTTTCTACGTAAGTGATAGAGTCAAGTACTTTATTTCATTCTATTTATCATACCACCCCTTATCACACTACGGATCATTTTTTTCTTTTTCCTTTCCTATGTTGAGAAAAATCGTTTTTACTGGTCCCACAGCCATTTTAGACGGTATTTGTCGATTTTCGAATTCAAAAAAGCCTTTTTCTCAGAAACTAAATACAGATTCTGAATCAGCACAAAAAACTGAGTCAAATGAAGTATTTTTCAAGTTAATTTAACAACTTTCAATTTTCTCAGTTTTTTCAGGGTATCGTCGGAGGACGGAAATTTTTGTATGTGTCAAAAATTGAAAGTTGTTAAATTAACTTGAAAAACATTTCGTTTGACTCAGTTTTTTGTGCTGATTCAGAATCTGTATTTAGTTTTTGAGAAAAAGGCTTTTTTGAATTCGAAAATCGACAAATACCGTCTAAAATGGCTGTGGGACCAGTAAAAACGATTTTTCTCAACATAGGAAAGGAAAAAGAAAAAAATGATCCGTAGTGTGATAAGGGGTGGTATGATGAATAGAATGAGATAAAGTATTTGACTCTATCACTTACGTAGAAAAACTAGATAGGTTTACAAAATCGACCTATACGCATCTCACTCGACGCGATTCAAAGTGTCACCACCAATAGAGTTTGGGGTCTGGAGTCGGTTTTAGAATTTTCTCCTATCCAGTTTTTGATGCTGAATCTGAAAAAATTATTTTCAGAAGCAAAAGAAAAGAATAAAGTAGAAAATTTTGCACATTTTGAGAAACGATGTGTTTTTTCCAAAAATGACACCTTTCGAGTATTTTGTATTTTTCGACCGAAAGGAAGTATTTACTAAGGCTAAAAAGTAGTTTTTCGTGATCAGCAGCTCAAGCTCTATCAAATAGTGTAAAAAAACGCAGAAAAAAATGTTTACTGAAAGTTTGACTTGCCTGCACCTTAACTAACTTGATCGATTGTATATCATAATCTTCAGTTGACTTCGTGTATTCACTAGTACTGTATGGTTTTTGCTAAACTCTTTAAGTCATTGAAAGTTGACTCAACTTTTCATGAGTCGACACAATCAATGTGAAAAATATAAAACATTTCGTACGTAGAAACGTAAAATCGGTTCATAAGTTATATGTTTTGTTGATGGAGATGGACAATGATTATTTTGCGACTAATATGTTCTCCTTACGATTACTACATAAAAAATAAGAAATAAAATTTACTTTAATTAGAAATTTTGATGGGTAACTCTATTGATGCGTGTACTATTGGTATTGGTTAATTTTTAATTTTCGGTTACTCATAACCCAAGATAACGGAATTTTTTTTCTTGTTGCTAAAACTTTCGTTTTAATTGTGAAATAGTCATTATATTTCTATTGGTTAAATATTTGTCCAACATTTGTAAACATATCATATTGGATTTTCTTTTTTTTTGACAAGTTATAGAATATCACTGGGAATTTTCCAACTTGTTCTCTTCTAAAATGTTCTGCTTTCTGTGCATTATACCTATATTGTACTTCTTTCTCCTGCTACCTCATACGTGATTGACATATGATATTTTATTGCATGTGCACATATGTCGTTTTTTTATATAAAAAACACAGGCATAGCTTTGTCAATTATTGTTTTATTGTATTGCATTAACTTGTCAAATTTCTCTTTTAGATTTCATTTGAAAAAATAAATATAAGCACAATCAGATAGTACTATTAATTACTTTGTTTAGCAAAAGAGAGAATAGTTTATTATATTCTTCATGACATATTACTCAACATGAATTGGTAAGCGGCATGATTTTTTTTTGTTTATTATCTTATTCTTATTTTTCAGTTCATCACGAAACTTTTTCACCTGCTTTGAAGATCTTCCAAACGAAATAATTTATGAAATATTCGAATATCTTGATTTTTATGATATTGATCAAGCTTTCTCAAAGCTTAAATTCCGATATTATAGTCTTCTTAACAATTCAACATATCATATTAAAATAAATGTTTCATCAATGTCTAAAAGCACCTTTGCATCTTATTGTAAAGATATTATTATTCCTTATGAAGATCGAATTTATTCAATTAATTTATCAAATTTATTCATTTATGATCTATGTTCTTCACCATTTCACAGTCTGTCACAATTTCTTCGGCTTGAAATACTTATTCTTCAAAATATTGAATCAAATTATCTTGAAAATCTTCTACCACATTTATCTTCATTACTCAATCTTTCATCATTAATTATCATGACGATTGGTTATTTTCATAATGTCAACAAACTTTATCATACAGTCTTTCGTTTAACTGCATTGAAGTATTTTAAAGTATCAGTAAATGAACACTATGTTAATGAAATACTATCTATCACTAAAAATCACTACAGCTCTCTTGAGCATTTCGTTGTCGATAGTCATTATCAAATTGATGATCTCAGTATACTTTTATCCTATGTTCCAAAACTTCGTCGTTTATCGTTTAAGAAACTATCGGAATCATATTATTTACAAATGCATATGCAACCTATTATATTAAATAGTTTAACACATCTTTCGCTTCAAACAAAACATATTATTTTTGATAAAATTGAATTATTTATTAGAAATCTTTCTCATCAACTTCAAGTCTTTCGTTTTTCAACAGAATTTGATGTAACATATTTAAATGCAAAACGATGGCAGGAATTAATTGTATTTCATATGCCATGCTTACGTATATTTGATATTGAACTTCAAGCAAAATATTATGATAATCAAAATGAATTTCATATTTCAATAAATCAATTCATGTCTCCATTTTGGTGGCAACGACAATGGTTTTTTACATATGAATATACAGATTATTTAGCAAGATTTTATTCAATAGAACCATACAGGTAAATTTTATTCAATAAAAATATACTAATGTTTCAGTTTTGATTACGTTTTTTCAAAGACGAAAACATTACATACTACACAATGGACTATGTCAACATACATATCCATATCGAAATAACAACAATCTATGTTCCGTTAATCATATTTCTATTCGAGATGATATAGACATAAAAAATAATTTAATTTATTTTCCTCACGTTACTGAACTAACACTTTTTGATCATTCTAACAAAACTCTTCATTCAATTTCTACTATACTTGATCGAACTATACCATTAATACAACTTTTCAAAATATCGATTAATTGTCGTCAATTTTGTATTGGTAAATTAATGGAATTATTATATTTTTCACCAAATATTCATATATTAATGATTAATTCAATATCATTAACTAAAGTAAGTTCGACGTCAATAGAACAAACTCAAACATTTCAAGCGATATGTAATACAAATAAAATTACAAATCTAACAATTAAAGAAAGTACAACAAAAGAATGTATACTTCTATTTATTAAACTTTGTCCTCAATTAGAACAACTTACCGTTGGAATACATTCATATGTTCTTTTATCAATTATATCAAATTTATTGTTGGAATTTGAGAAGTGTTGTAAACATTTATCTTGTGTATGTTTTTTGAATTCAAGTAATGCCTTCACAACGATGGTTGGGCCAAAGTTTTCTAGTAATTATTCAATTAAGTGTCTTTTGCAAAATTTATATATATGGTACTGACAAGAAAGATGTCTTTTTTTGTTTTTGCATGTTGTTTATTTTAAAATAAATATAAATTTCCAAGCTGATTTGAAATGATGTTATGTTCAAAATGATAGAATCAAACAAATTAGAGAGATATATAGGTAGTTGAGGAAATACTTGACTAGGCTATTCCTTTGAGGTTTATCTTCATATACTGGTAGAGTAGTGTCACATATCCAAGATTTTGGAGATGCCACCACATCTCCCGTGGGAGATGCCGCGTCTCCAGCGGGAGACGCGACACCCACACTCGAGAGATGTAGTCATTCACCACTGGAGATGTAAGATCTCATTTAGAGATGCGCATCCCCCACACCCACATCTCTCGCGCGAGATGCGGCATCTCCAGCGGAAGACGTAGTGGCATCTCCAAAATCTTGGATATGTGACACTGCTGTACTGGTAATAGATATTATTATTATCTGATCATTTTGTGTTATGAAGGTGAAGATGTAAGACGAAAGTGTTAAAAATTTTAGTTAAATTTAATAGCTTTAATAATTTATTTTTCTATGAGAATCATTCATAACTACAAAGCTAAAAATGAAATTGTGCATCAAGAAATATACCACACAATTTGGTATGAGATACTATGATTTTCAAGACAAAGTATTAAAACGAGCTATAGATTTTAAAATTCCATTTTCAAGCTTAATGTTGTCTAGCTGTATTATCTAGGATATAAGTCATCGATAGAGTAGCTGACGCTGGAATTAGAAAGGATGTGGCTTGGTGTGGATGTGATTATACTCTTTACTTTCATCCAAATCCACACCCACTCACACTCTCATCATCTACTGAGAATAAGAAACGAATATTTGAAGAACCTTCTATTTCTTCACTCCCGCCGTTGTTTTTCTCATTGTTGAAAGTAAACTGATGACTGTTAGTTTTGTATATAAGAAAAAGTATTAGACAAAAAAAAGGATGTTTGTCGAGCAAGCCAACAAAGAAAGAAACGAGGACTTTTTCGGTTTCTATATAATTCTACTTTTATGCACGACAGACTTTATGCTGTACATATTGAAGAAGTATTATTTCCATTAATCATGATCTTGGCAATCTATTAACTATATTTATTAAATCGATAATGTATAAATATTGAGACCAATATATATATATATATGTTGAATAAACAAAATCTAGCGTTGCTATGATGGCTTAGTTGAATACAGAAATTTAACTGATGATTAAGACAGCATTCCTATTTGCAACGAAAATACATTCTATTCAAATCTATAAAACACGGAAGTTAGAGACAGGAATCGTATGATATTGGTATAGATATTGCATATGATCATATGAATGCAGTATTCAATATCAGAACTGATAATTTTAAAGTACTACTCAATATTCTTATCTTATATAATTTTAGATTCTTATTAAAATTCTTCCTAGCTATTTTTAGATAACAAATAAAATCAGCAAGTCATTGAGACTGTGTATTTAATATAATTGAATTTAGTGTGACATAACGGATAGTTGTTCTTCTTTGTTCCATAGACCATATTGCTTTTCATGAAACTATGTAGTGCTAGTCAATGTAAGAAAATCTCATTTAAACATAAGAGAATATGCAAAGATCTATTAAAAACCAATTATTTCTTATCGAACACAAAAAAACATTGCTAATCTGTCGTTCATAATAAAATAGTCTGGTATATGAGTTTCTTTGAATGAAATGGCTTCTCTCCTATTAAATAAACTTTCCATTATTTTCTTTGGCAGAAAAGAAAATAAGAGTACTTGAAATGAAAAAAAGTTTGTTTTACGATCACTCGTCATTTTTCTTTTCTTTAATAATTGCTCGATGAAGTCATATTCAAAGCATTAGATTTGGTTAGCTAAACAAAATTTATTCTAATTTGTTTCTACTAAAGTAATGACATTCAATAATATAAAATAAATCGACATAATAATTTATGTTTTAGTTGCATGTCGAAATTTACTCAATTTTATAAGATAATTCAATCCGTAGTAACCAGAACACACAATATACAATTAGTATGCTAGAAAGTTGTTGACAACTAAAAAAACAAAAGCTTAATATCAGATAAGCATTTAGTTCGAAAAATTTCTCATTCCTTTTGAAGAAACTAACTTAAAATAATATAGACCATAAGAACACTTGTAATAGCAGGTTTCATTTATGTTTTTTCTTTTCCTTTGTCGTTTTTCATCAATCAGTTAAGTTGAGCATCGAGATGAAGAAGAAGAAGAAGAGAAAAAAAAAGAAATAAGAAAAGCTTTCTCTTTTGTTGCATCAACATAATATTACAGGTGTTGTTCTATTTACATATAGTGGCAACAATGAACAAACTCGTATCTCCATTAGAGTGAATAGTCAATACTTCATGTGATTTAATAGTAACTAGTAGCAGAAAAAAAAAAGAAAAATCTCTTGCTTTTCTTGTTTATTTTGTGTTATTATTAATAGTTTTAAAAGCTTGGAAAAGAAAATCCGTGCGAGACAAAGTGAACAGAAAATAATTCTACTCTCGTCGTAATCAAATTCTCAAAAATACTTGATTCTTTTGACACAAGAGCAATGCTCTGAAATTCTCTTATTTGTTTTTCTTTTTTTTTCTTTCTTCATTACTTTTTTTTCTGCTTTATTCCTGTCACTGAGACCGTTATAACAAAAAAAGTATGAAACATGTCGAAATTTCGTATTTTTTTTCTTTTCGTTATACGCAATGACATTTGTATGTTCATTTAAAGATTGATCCAATGACAAGTAATCATATTCCATTCCAAACCACAGACTATGAAAATATATCAACCACGGATCGTTTAGCACGTAGTCGTGCACAACATCTTCAATTACGAGAAAATCGACCGAAATCGGTTTCAGATGATGAAATTAATGCGGGTTCAGATTGGTCTGATTCTGATCGTGAATGTTGTCCATTGAGTGACTTTGAATCAACATCAAATAATGATGGAACTGATGATAATGAAGATAATAATAGAAATAAATTATCAGAAGAAATCTCTCAATTAAATAGTCCATTGTTATCAAGAAATCATTTACATGTTACTGAAATACCAGATTCAATAATTGATGATAGTATAACAAGTACACGGATATCGTTTACAAATGAAATTGAAAAACCAAAAGAACAATGTACTAAAAATACATCGGTTAACTCAGTACAATTACGCAAACAATTTCAACAACCACTATTACCTGCTCGACGTATTGAGACAAAACAAGTGTCATTACGTTGTTCATCAACTCGTTCAATAATTACTTCTCAATTGTCGTATACTTCTCGTAATAATAAAAAAATCATGCCTACTCCAACACGTATTTATTTACGTCGTGAAACTACTTCTACTACTATAAGTTTAAATACTCATTTAACAAAGGATTCGACTGTATCATCATCAATTTTTTCATTTCAAAGTCATGATGATAATCAAAATCAACGACAAATAATATCACCAAATTTTAGTCAAACATCCGTACCACGTGCATATGAAATTAAAAAAATCTTTGTTGATGATTACGATTATGGTCGTTTAACTGATATATCACCAATACGATCATCTCAACCACGTAGTCGTCAAAAATGGGGTACTATTGTACATCCACCATTTCCACTTGGTTATCAACATATAGCTCCTGAACAAATAACACGAGCTGTTGAACGTCTTTCAAATCCTGCACGATGTCGTGATCGACATACTCGTAATGAAACACCATCCAAACGTTATTTATCGACTGAAGAAACTGATGCTTTGGTAACAAATGATTTGTTTTTTTTTTATTGTTATTATTATTTTTTCTCTTTTTTTTGTTTTTAGATAAATCGATTAAGTAAAGTAAAAACTATTCAATCACCTGATCAATATTGTCCAATACAGAGACAATCTAGAACAGTTAAAACATTAAATAACAACTGGAAAGGTTATGGCATATCAGCATAGTGTACTTTGTTTTCGAATTTCAGGGTTTTTCTGTGTGTGATTTTTATGCAAGAAAAAATTTAAAAAAAAAAGAGAAATCTGTCTCTTTTTCTGTTACTACAAAAATCTTCATTGATATGAAGATCTATTTATTATTATTATTTCATCAATAATCTATCCCATGAATAATCTTAACTAAAACATGTATGTTAAATTGATTATTCATGATGTAGTTTTGTCATACGATCAAAGGTTTCGGTTCAAGGTGATCCATCTACATCGCCTTCGATTTGCATAAATTTTCATTATTTTTTTTTATAAGAATAAGACACTAAAAAAAATTTTTCCCTAAATGGAACTATAATTATGACAGTAAGCAAGTTACGTTTCAACTCATGAAATGAGTAAACTCACATATATTAAGCAAAACATTATTGTAGAAAATCTTCTTTTTTTTTATTTGTTTTTAAGCAGCAGTACATATTTATTGATATACTGTCAAACGATTAATTGATGGAAAATCTTAAAACTTAATGTCATTAATTTATCACCAATTATATAAATAAAAACAATCTTGATGCGTATGCTCAAATAAATTTTTAAATATCAGCTATTTAACATTGAAGTGTTTTGATATATTTTCTAAAAAAAAAAATTAGATTACTTAGATTGAATTGGATACAAGAAAACTTCTATTAGACTTAAGAGTATTCATAGAGATTATGTCATGAATTTTTTCTATAAGTTGACCCATCTACTATTTTCTCTCTTCTATCACATACTCATTACACAGTAAAAAAAAACATCAAATGTTACTTTTATACTTCGAAATTAAAATTGAACAAAGAACATGTATTGTTGTCGATATTATTAACAATGATCAAGAGTAGATAATATTATTTCTTCTGATTAAAAGAAATGAACAAACGAAGAAAAAACGTAAATATCTTTTTAACATTTTACACAGTCGATATGAATCTCTTAAGTTTTTGTTGGATATTTGTTTAAGTATTGTTGCGAATAATTTTATTTGTGCATGCTATTCAAAATAACCTGGCAGAATTGAAAGCGCACTACTTCAATGTTGTCAAATAACTGAAAAAAGACATTACACAGAGTTTTCCTTGAAATTACTTTGTTTTTTTTTTACCAATTCTGACCTCGCCTGGAAAAAAATCGAGTCACGCTAACTACGATGAATAAACACGCTATCAAGCCGAATAACTTCTTTGAATCCATATATTAGGAAATTTTCTTTTTTTTTTTACAAACAGGTGTTTTTCACCACCAGTGCGCAAAGAAGTTCTAGTGTTGTTATACTGTTTTTTTTTTGAGTTTTTTCATGATTCGGTACATCTCCGAGAAAAATTTTGCAATAGTTTGAACTCATTATTAATCTATCATCACTGTAAAGTTTTCAAAGCATGATCGATCTGCAACGATATCAGTTTAAGGAAAATGTTAAGAAATAGCTTTAATGGACTTTTCATATGGTGTTTTCTTGTGAAATTCATTTGGCAGCTGTCATTTTTTTACAATCATGATAAATAAAATTCTAAGGAGTATGCAATAAAATCATAAAAATGTCAAGTCATTTGTTTGAACTATGAAAGAAATATGCAAGTTTGTTGTTCGCTTGAACTTTGCAATGCACTGTATAGACAATATTGAGTATCTATTAAATTGAGTTATTTTTTTTTCAGAGTTGTTCTAAAAAAACTTGAATCCATATAAATGAAAAAAGGAGAATAGAAATTACATTTTGGTAACTAAAATTTTTTAAAAGAAAGTTGTGTATTTGATGACAAACATCACAAAATTTTATCATCTTTCTAAGATGAGATTTGAAGTGTCTGATACTATTTCAGTGACCGATCAATCCATGAGTCAACATTTAGGAGTACAATTTTCTTTGGAGATAACTGATATTCGAGGTAAAATTGCAATAAAATCTTGGTATTTATTTCTTTTACTTGTTATTTGTAAATTTTTTTAAAATTTTTCTTTTGCAATATTCAAAAAATTCTAAACACATCAGAATTACGAGAAATTCACTGAAACATTTAGAATGTTACAAAATTCTTCATCTAATTCTGCATCCTTAAATGCATGTTTTAGATATTTAGGTAAAGTATTTCGGATAAGTGGCATTGAAAACAATCAGAAATGAAAACAGAAGAAAGTGTTTTGTGATAGATCTAAAAAATTCTCCTTTCTTAATTCTACATCTGATTGCCTATTAGTAAACCTTTTCTAGTTTTCTGATGAACACTGTCAAAAACCTTGAAACGATTGTGGAAGTATCGAGAGCGAAATTCTCTATATATTGGCAAATAAATAAAATTTTTTAAATGATATACAGGAAGAGAAAAAAAATACTGAGATTTAGTTCAATTCCATTTGAAAAACTCGTTATTATAGACAATGACTGTATTTTTGACGCAAGCTGTTAAGCAAAAGTTGGCTTTATATACAAGTTATACTAAAAACAAAATTGTTCAAAAAAATTCGATTCAATATTGTATTGTATCCTTCAATGATAGAAAATGAAAATGTGTTTTTCATAGTTCATTTATAAAACATAAATCGATTGAATTGTTTCATCAATATATGGTTTATCCAAATGTTCTTTTTTCTTCATAGACAAGATAAGAATAATTTTTGTTCACATTTCATATAACAATATGACTTTATTACCATACAATGAATATCATGAAAGACGATGTGATTATTAAAAAAAAAGTCACTGCTGTTCTTCTAGTTTTTCTCTATACCTTGAGTTTTTCATAACAATCAGTAGAAGAACATGATCAACGCGAACTCGATACAACTGCGTAAATCATATCTCATTAGTATTCAATCGTCTTTAAGTCGCATAAAAAAAAAACTATTGACAATTGTTCTATAATACTTGCATGCGTATTTGTAAATCTAAGCTTCTTAGTTACTATTTGTTTTTATTTTAATTTTCAAAGCTTTATTAAACTAATGAAATCTTGCAGAAAAAAAAACGAAGTAATTTAGTTCGTTTCTTCGTTTTTTTTTCTCCTCTCTTCTGTATATATCAATATATCAGTTTACATATCTTTGTTCGAAAAATAAGTTATCATATTAAATTCAAATATTTATATAAAGACAAAAGTTTCTTTGTTATTCGATCAGTTAGTGATTTCTTGCATTTTGTTAAAAGAGCAGCAGTAACGAATAGGTTTGTATTTATCAGGATGAAAGTTTTTTTTTTTAATTTTGCCATATGAAAAACAATGTTAGGATGAGAGTGCTTGAGAAGAAGAAATTATTTAAAAATGGGTTAAATTATAAATGTTAATAATGTTAATTAGCAATGAATATATGTGTTTTTGTTACTACGGAGAGTCTATTAACAACGTTGAGGTACTTTGTTAGACACGCACATTTAATCGAACAATCTAGCGCAAAAAGAAGAAGGGAAAAAGAAATATGTTCGAGTGCTTTATTTTTTTTCCATAGATAAAAATAATATATACGATGTAGAGAAAATGCAATGAAAATATAGTCATACAAAAGATTTTTTTCATCGTTTGTTACGTTCTTCTCTTTTATTTTACTCAGTAACATTTATAATAAACATCATGGACGATGAACAAGGTGAGTTACTCAAATCAAAGATAAATTATTTAGTAACTTTTTATAATAAACAGAACATAAGAATAAAGTAGTACGAAGAACAATAATTAAAAACATCTTTATAGTTTTTTTCGAAGAATAAGTTTTTTATTGATTAGAAGCTTATGATTGAATAAGGGAAAATTGTTCTTGTTTTCTTTATTTATTTCATTTCGAAATAAAACTTTTCGAGAAGTTTTCAAACGATTAATCAAGTGGAAATAATTGAGAGTTTCGATTTGAATGAATTAAACTCAAGTTCAAATTTAACATGTCATCCGTGAATAAAATATTGTGATAATATCTTAGTTATTTCTCACGTCTGTACTCTAAAATTTCTTTCTGTAATATAATCTGTACGTAATCAATCTTTCATTAAGAATACAAAAATATTATTTACTAACAGTGAATCAGTATAACGGATATATATGCGAAGCATTCCCCGCAAAAATCACTATACAAAAATAAAATTTGAATATCTCTCTTGTAGTTTGTCTTGGTGAACTGGTGATAAAGGACTTTTCGAAGTTTCTATTCATATATTCAAAGTTTTTAAATAATCATACTAAGTAGCACTTTCATATTTATCACATAATAAAATCTTTTCTTTTTCATCATTGTGGGGTCTTTAATTATCTGCGTCTCTTTCTCTTCCTTTATTAAAAATATTCATTTCAAATAAAATAAAAAGAATAAGTCAAAAAAAGATTTTATTGTGTATTAAACATCAAAGTACTATATTGTAGGAGTATTAAATGGTATCTTGAATTCTGCTTGTCCTATCTCATTTGATTTTCAAAATGTGACAAACAGGTTTTTTTTCAAAATTCAGAATGGTCCCACAGAGTTCAAGTGTTTAAGAACTTTGAATATTAGTTCATCTAATAGAATTAAAGATGGAATTAGTTCTATCTTTGCAGTATTGATTGCGAGTATAAAGTTTGTAACTGTATAACTATTGAATTGATGAAACACTTCTAGATAGAAAATATTAAATTTTTAACAGAATAAATACTATAATAAAGAATATTTCTATCATCTCATTGAATATTTATTTTTAGTTATTGAACCTTTGGAAACAAATCCAATGCCAATATATGAAATACCTCGAGATGATCAACAAGATAATAAAGGTTTTCTAGACAAAAAAAAAACATTGTTTTATTGAAATTAGCATTTGTTTGTGCTTTTTCTTTTATGATTATAGAAAGTATTATTCTTCGAAGTTCTCTTGGTGATTCAACTCGACATACACCATTTACTGATTATCGATCATCATCAACAATGTCTTCACACGTAAGAGAACCAGCTTCAATGTATACACTTCAAAGTCGAGATCAACCAATAATAAAAGGAAGTATGTTATTACATTTGTCAAAATTTTGAAAAAATATATTTTATAATTTTTGTGAGATCGACAAATGTCATTTCCTATTGAACAAGAACAACAATCAACTACACCAACATTTTTTTTCGAACCTACAATTATCTCACAACCAATACTTTATAATATTGCCAATACCAAACGTATTGCAATAATTGATCAATCAACATCTATCGAACAAGAACAATATATTCCTACAATTTATTCAATAAGCGGACAACCTCGTCGTCTTACTGTAGATATGAATGCTAATAGTTTAGACACACCTACTCAAGTTATCAATAAATCTCCTATCCTTTATTCCATGATCAATGGTCCACCTGTTGAAAATGATATTCAAGAATCAAATAAACCATATTTACAACCACCACCACCACCAACTGTTTATTCCATTGTTGGTAGTCCAGCACGTACATCACGTGGTGTACAAGTAAGTCCACTTGATCCTGTTCAACCAGCACCAATTTTATATACCATTACGGGTGATACATCAACACCAATAAATAGACCAGTAGAGAACATTTCACCACCAACTACAACGAAACCATTAAAAGATGCTACTATGTATACGTTAGGAAATCAAGGTAATGTTCTTCGAACACAACAACAGCAACAACAACAACAACAACCAATTCAACCACCTACACTTTATGCATTAGTCAGTCAACCAAATTCACTACCAAAACAGCCAACAAAGTATTCAATATTATTTTTATATTTGAAAATTATTCGGATTCTTTTTTTTTTGTTAATATAGAAAGTCTCCAACAAAACCGACACCAACAACAACAATAACTACTGAACATATTAATCGTAATTTCGAACGAAAACCCGAAGCAATCAATGAAGAAATTGTAGCATATTCAATAGCAAACACTAAACAGGAACCACAAGCAAGAGGTTAATATTTATTTTATTTTCAATAGAAAAAAAAAATAAAAAAAATAAAATTTTAGAATCCAAAGTTCCAAAACCAGAAGCAATATTAATTTCTCTTCATGATGATGAACATCGTACACGTCCTCGAACAGCTCATCAATCACCTCTTTTTTATGCAACTCCAGAACAAACACAACGTAAACCTCTTACTACAATACAAAATCACCCAATTCAATTGTCTGATTATCATTCATCACATGCATATCGAACACAGAAACCATATCGTGAACGTAATTATAATAATAATCCATTGCCAGTTGTATCCAATAATCGCTTTGAGCGAAAACCAAAACCACCACTTAATCAAACACGTTCGCATGTTGAACGTCAACAACTAAATGTTCCATCAAAATCAACATCTTTAGTAATTATCTTAATTTAATATTTACATTTCGTAATAGTGTTTTTTTTTAGGAAAGATATCCTGTTAATAGAAATGCACGTCTTGGTTTATGGGATAATGGCTACCAAACACAAACTGATGATGAAGAAGAATATACACGAAAAACTACTAAGAAAAAACGAAATCAAAAAAAGACGCAACCACGTGCACCTTGGATACCTGTTTGGTAATCGAACACAACAACAACAACAACAACAACAACAACAACAACCCAAAAAAGTTTTTTTTTTTTATTCAATTTCTGCTTTTATCTTTTATATAAATAGAACGAGAAAAAATTAAACTGTTTCATTTTGTTAATCTTCTTCTTCTTTTCAAAAATATAAATGTTTATAGAGAGGCATTAACGGACATCATGTTTTGTACAAAATGATTTGAATTCTATAAAAGATAATAATAAGAAAAAAAAAACTTATTTAATAAAAATATAAATTAACAAGAATATATATGCATACCTTCAAAACTAATTGTACCACTATCATCAACATCAAGTCGTTTAATTAAACCGTTAATTTCTTGTTCAACCATTTGTGGTGAAATACCAAGCATTTCTTGCATTGGTTTATAATATTGTCTTAATTCATCAACAGTTATTGAACCATCACCATCTTTATCCATACGACGAAATTCTTTTCGAAGTTGTTCTTCATTAAGCGAAGCCATTTGATATTTTTTTTTCTTTTATGAATGCAAATGCATAAATATTATTGAAAGCAATATGTATTTATATGAATAAAATGTATGACTATCTTCATACTTCACTGATTTTACTCATTATATGATGAATCCGATAGATGAAGGAAAAAGATTATGTAAATATGAATAATAAAAAATATGAAAACATGATTATACTTTTATCATTAATGATTGATTCTAATAAGATTGAGACCCATATTTTGATGAATAAAACAGAGTGGGATAAATATATGATAGAAGTAACGTCGAGCAAGTTTTATATTAAAAAAATAATTATGAATAAGTATGCAATAAAAACATGAATAAGGTATAATATGTCCTTGATGATATATCCCTAACTTTTCGTATTTACTTCGATGTCTATTATAAACAATGTGACATATAAAAAAGTTTCCTAGTAAGAATATCCTTGTCTTTTCTCGATATTTTATTATTAATAATTCGATATTGCTATAGATTAGTGACTGAAGACAAAAAAAAGACTAAAACTCACACAATCTACTAAGATAACATTTGATAATGAACTACAGTTTTGTCGAAGGATCACTGTATTATTCAACATTATCTTATGGACGAAAACCCAGAAACATTTTTGACTGTTACTGAGAGATAGACATAAAAATAAAAATATATTATTAATAATTTCATATCTATATTTAAACTAGATATGAACGAAACCAGCCGTTTTTGGTCTTGATTCAGCTGGAACTAGAATTATCTTGTCCATATCGATTTAGAACATATGAATTATGACCATATGACATTCGATAAAAATCTTACACAACCATAAAAGGTATCGTTCCCAATAAAAAAAAAGTGTTCGTTCTGGTTTCGGAACTATCTCGCATATATCTACTTTTAAATCATTTCAAATCGAATAGTTTTAATATATCATCTTTATTCACTATTATCAATGAATTCAATAATTCACTTATATATTTCTTAGTTAATCAAATACATTTCATAGCAATACATTAAATTGTACAAAATTCACTACATTTCCAACAGCCATTACATTGATCATTTGATACATACGGTTTATAAGCATCTATTAATGGATGTTTTTTGTATAAAATCATCCAAAACCATGTATACTATTAAATGTATTACCTATATCCTGCTTAATCATAATCTGTATGATCAACTATATAAACTTATACATTGAATTTTTTCAGTAAATGTTTTACTTGATGGAAAAGTACATTTTGAATACTTGAAGAATGAAAGTAAATATTAATAAATGAGACAGTTATTTAAAATATAATATACAATTTAGTAGTATGTTTATTTTCTTTTTACAGTTTGATACTAATTGAAAAAATGATATAATCAATTTGATTTTTAATCATCAGTTCTTTTCCGAATGTACAAGGTAAACATCAAGTCTAATTTATTTTACCTTAGCAAAAAAAAAATATCCAGTGCGAGATTTAATAAGACACACACATACAGAGAGAAAAAAATGAAATTTAATATTATTTCCAAATTTTAATATGTCGTTTAGCTATTTCATAGCTTACATTATTAACAATACCTTCCCATTGAAGTGTATCATTTGGTTCATTAGTACTAATGAGCCAAATACTTAATGTTAGAAGATTAGTCATAGTTTTAACAAATTTACCAGCAATTTGTCTTAAATCATGTAATGTATTTAAATTAATATGTAAATGTTTTACATTTGAAAATACTTCAAGAAAACGATTATTATCAACAATTGGTAGAGTACCACGACGTAATACAAATTTTTCAAGTCTATCATGTAATTTAGAACATACATCATTATTTTGAAGACGATCTGTTAGAGTCTAAACAAAAAAAGTAATTGATAAAAATAAGATTTTTAAAATTTTCGATAAATTAATATAAGAATGTTAATGAAATGAAAAAGCTCACAACTAAAATCGGTATATCATTTGCTATAATATTGATTATATTCTGAGAAAATTAATGATGAGAAAGATACATATTTATTGTCGAGATTCTAAATATATATAAATCTTATGTGATATTCTTTCTATTTTTTAAAAGACAATCGAATTATACTGTTTAATCTTATTCCATTAAGATCAAGAAATATCAAACAGAGTAACTAGAGTTCAATTTCGTAAGAAATCCTTTGATTTCAACATTCGAATATCTTAATACAAAAAATGAAGAGTAATATAGACAAGAAATTCTTTTATATGACAGATCGAATAGTATCTATTCTTTTTGAATAAAACTTACCATAAGAATATCATAATCAGTTTTGAAATATCGTAAACACGGTGTAAATTTTAATAAAGCAAAAAACATAGACGCCGGTAACGGAATGAAAAGTTCTAAATGAATTAATTTATATAAATCAATCATAGAACAAAGTTGTGTAAGTAATGTTGAATAATTAACTGGAACAATAGCATTTTGATATATTTGAAGAGCACGTACATTCGGATATATTCGTTGCGTATAAATCTAAACTTCTTTTTATTTTTTGTTTCGGAAACTTTCATTGATATATAAATTTTTAATTACCTGCATTGGCATATTTGTTTTCAAATAAAGATCAGTAACTGAAGTAAACGCATTATACGGTGCTTCAGTTACAGGTAAACAATGTATTGTACTAATAAATGAAAGACGACGATATGGTACAGTAAATAGATGAAATTTATTATTATCTTGTGAATAATCAACAGCTATATGCCATTGTCGCCAAAATCCAGTTAAAAATGATGATGAAAGTTCATCATCAAATGTTGATGATACAGCTTTAATATCAAGTACAAGAAAACGTAATTGTTCTAATGATGTTAATATTCGTAACCATTGTTCTGAACTTAAAAAATCAATACCAATAGCACTTATTGTAAGTCGAGATAGTCGTGGTAAAAACGAAAGTATATGTGCAAGATAATCAAATCGAACTGTATATATACAATTGAGTTTAAGTGTACGAAGTGTTTGAAATGATTCATTAAATAGTGGTAAAAAACCTTGAAAATTAACAAGAAGTCGATGAATAGTAAGATGTTTAAGTAACGGATAAAATTGAATAAGTGTATGAAGATCATTTATATAAAAACTATCAAGAACAAGTCGATTGAGATGAGAATTTGGTCGAAGTTTGTTTGTAGATAAAACATCATCATATGACAAAACACATCTGTATATTAAAAGTTCTTCGGTTTTTTTTTTGTAAACTATTTTATTGAAAATTTTTTCTCTCTTACGTTTTTAAATGTGGAATATCGAAGAGAAGACCAAGTTGAATTTTTTGTTCATACATTTTATAAGATTTTACTTGAATTGATGATAAATGTTTTAATTTAATAATTTGTTTATATTCAGATTCATTCGGTTCAATAAATGACATTATATATAAATTAGGAAATGTTCTATTTATATGTGAAAATCTTGTTAAAAATAATTTAATTCCACCACATGTTTCAATATTTGATAAACGAATTGCATAGATACATGATGAATAATTAAGAAAAATGTTTGAACAATATTCATTAAATTCATTAAAAGATATATTTGTCGATAAATCAACATGCATTCGACGTTGAATAATTAAATTTTGTAAACGATCATTAAGCATACTAAATGCATGAATTAAATCAAGTGGTCGAAGATAATCAAAAATATCCAAGAAAATTTCATTGGCTAAAGTTTCAAATTTTGATAAAGACATTACGTCTTGAAAATCTGAAAAAAATCATTTTAATAATAATGATTTATGTTAAGTTTTGCATATATTAGACAGTATTTAAATATTATTCAAACTGTTACTTAATGAATCCATTTTTCTTTGAAGACATTTTAATTTTTACTAAAATTATTTAATCAATAAAAAGTATATGTGAAAATGAATAAACATGAATGTATTCTAATAATGCTCACTGATCAAAACTGTTAAAACCAAATCGAAAATTTATTAATCTTTAAAAAGAAGTATTCTGATTGTAGACGCTTATATAATGATTATTTCTATAGATAAATTTGTTCCAACCAATAAAAAACTCTTACAAATAGAGACTATCGGTCTTATCCCATTTGTTGACATCGTAGTCAAATGTAGAATATTTTTTCGACTGTTACTTAAATTTCTATTTTATCTAAAGAGAAAAATTCTGCAATTGATTTATTGCTTTTTAAGTCCAGACTATGTGTCTCATATAGATCCTAATAAGTTATAGATACTCTAAAAAGATTTCGAAATCTTAACTTATTGTGATTGATATCGATCTTTGCATTCTTCTTATCTTAGAATACAGCTATAGTATAAGGATATGTTTCATATCGGCATATTCAATGTTTTCATATCAGCATAAGAGCAAAACAAAAGATCTGAAACTTTCACAATTAAATATTTCTGTTGGGATCAGTCTTAGTGCAAACTTATTCGAAAATGAGTTTTCCTAGCGATCCTAAGGAAGACGATAGCATTGATTTAAAAGATAACATATTTCTTCAGTATCTCCATAGCAATTAACATAGAATGCAAACTCTCTTTAGACTATTCATAGATTATTACAGTCTACATAATACAAATAGTTTCGACTCAAAAGCAACTAATCAAAACAGAAAAAGAAAGATCATATCTCCGAACACTAATTTGGGCATCGGACATATTCTTGTGAAAACCAACGACGGCTCAACTGATTGGCTTACACTTTCACTCATTAGTATTTGGTATAAATCAAGAATATTCTAGTTATACTTCAATGATTTTTGTTTATTCCAGTTTCGATCAAAAAATATTGAGTTTACATGTTGTAATGATATTAGAGGAAAGTTTTAATATTTTCACGGCCTTACTGTATCCAGAATAAACAAACACAAAAACATATAACAACTCTTAAACTCAAACTATCAAAATATACCAAATAAATCTTGACTTGTTTTAAAGTCATGTAAATTGAATTGTTTACCTGTATCTTATCGTTTAGAAAAGAAACAAAAAAAAAAAAAAAGATTAGTCCATTCTTCATAATATTGATTAGAGACAAAGTAGATATTAAACTTATTTTTTTCTTTCGTGTAAATTAAAAACAAAACATCTACATCACAAAACGATATTTTTTTCTTTTAATTGACAATATTCTTTTAAATATTTTATAATACGTTCACAATCAATTCCTTGACGTTGTATATGAAAATAACCTTTTTCAGATAAATCAATAATTGTTGAACCACGTCGATCATTTGATGATAATAAACCACCATCAATAATTAAATCAATTTGTGACCATAATTCTTTAAATTCATCAATACATATTGAACTTGGTTCATTCGAAATATTTGCACTTGTTAATGCAATAGGTTCTTGTAAACGTTGTGCTAATTCAATCATAAATTGACAATTTGGAATACGAATAGCTACATTGTTTATATTTGGATTAAAATATGATGGTAATGATGATTGTCTTTCAAACATAAGTGTTACTGGACCAGGAAGAAGATCACCTGTAGATAATTGATCTTTTGTTAATGTTGGTTTTGACCAAATAAATAAATCATCAATATAACCAACAGATATAGCTAAAGGTTTTGTAAATGATCGACCTTTAATTTCATAAATTTTACGAATAGCTTTTTCATTATTTACTAATCCTGCAAGACCATAAATTGTATCAGTTGGTACAGCTAAAACACCATCTTGTTTTAAAATTGATATACATTGATCTATTAAATTATTTTCATTTATTGAAACAACATTATCTGACATCGTTTTGTTGTAATGAATAGAAAAACGACGTAATACGTGGCAATTGAATTTTTGAATAAATGAAATAATACGAATCATAATAACATTCTATGATGGAAGATTGAAATTCCATTTTGTTTATAAAAATTCTTATCTATACCAGAAATATTTTTCAAATTGGATGAAGAACAACAATCGAATATTAATTATAAAAAAAAACAACAACACAAGACAAACTAGAATTTATTTTTTTTGTTTTTTTTTTAATATGTTTATTTATCCAATACTTAGATATATAGTAAGAGTATATTTATATAGGGGTCGCTGTAAACATAAGAATGATTTTATTCCTTTTAAATAGTATGTTTCATTATTGAAAAATATTTTAATAGATGTGGCATTTATTTTTCTGAGAAAATGTGTTTAGAACAAGTTGTGCATGCTCTTATCAAAATATGTAGCCACTGTTGTTTGAAAAATTATATTTTCTTTTCTTTTCTTCAGTTAAATTTATCTCATACATGTTGTGTTAAAGATCAAAGTTATGTTTGGGTTGTCATTCGAAGAGAAACTTGAGATTTGTCTTAATCATTTTTGAGAAACCAAACCTAGATAAACAACTAAATAATAATAATGACCTACAAATTGGCCACGTTTTTTACCAATTTTCATTAGTCTAAAAGATTTTTAAACTGACCAGACTGCATTAGTTCGAAAATTCTCTATTGATTCCAATCTTGAGTTGGTCTCTATTTCTGTTATCGAAACCTTATACACGAATTGGAAAAAAATAGCTCATTGCAATGTAAGCATTCAAGAAAAGAGAAGCGTAAACATCTGAAGGTATTAAAAACGAAATTTCACATCTAATATCATCACTTGAAAAAGTTTTGTGAATTTGTCTGTTTGTACTGGTCTAAGAATATTTGGTGACTGGTTCGACCAGTTATAACTCTGTTACATATTTGATAATAGTGAAGTAATTCTTGATTACATAATTAGTGTGATTTTAAATTTAATTCATTGACTAACTTATCTGACAGTAAAATGCATTTTTCTTGCTAAAAAAGTACAATGGTTATCCTCTTTTAGAAGATAATTGAATAATACAGTAGAGATTAATTTATCAGTCCGTTCTCTGATAACGTATAACGAAATAACAGGAGCTGTTTCGATAGCATTTATTTGAAAGATTTTAAAAACTTCAAATAAAATCTTCTAGTGAATGTACTGAATTCAGAGTACTTCTGCTACCAATATAACACTTATCTCTTATGTGTAACATTTCACGGTAACTTTAACTGATGAGATAAGATAATAAAGTGAAGAAATCAAAGCAAAATTTATGAACGATGTATTACATTGATATACATAGAATAAATTTTTAGGACTAGTTAGTTTAAAAGTCAACAGTTACAATATTTTGAATTTTCAAGTATGAAATACTGGTTTTTACATGAAAGTTGATGCCTTAGGGAACCGAAAAAACTTTCGATAGTTTGCCTTATCGGTACGGATCTCAATATTTAAATATCTTTCAGCAAATTTGTTTTTGATTTCTTCTTTTTATTCTCTTGTATGACAATTGAAAATTTTTGTCGAGTATTGCTATACATGGATTTTTCTTATTTGAAACAAGTCAAACTTTCTTTAGTAAGGTCAACAGTAATCCTCAATAGTAATAATTGTTCAAATTACTTGTATGAAACCAATAAAAAACAATTTTCAATATAATTATATCAGTGACTAAAAAACGAACCTGTTTAAATCAACCGAAATGAAGATATTTCAAATGTTGACGAACACACATTATGTTTTTCGAAGAAAAAAAGCATTGTAGCAAACAAATTGTAGAGCAACAATAAAACTTCTTTATCTTAGCGATTGTCTGTGATGTACACCTCATGGACACTTATTTCTAGATCCATGAACAATAACAATCTCTACAATGTGAGTAACTGATGTTCTGTCACTCATTGTAATACGCGAAAATGATGATGCTATGTGTGTCACCTTATGATAAACCATTATGAGACTCATAGAAAAAAAGCGAATGCGCTAGACATAGATACCTAAAAGGAGAAAAAAAGACAATATTAGATAACATCACTAGTGATTAATGTAATATCTTGTAGTCTTTACATTATTAACTAGTAGCATCAAGTCATATCAAAACAAATTGATGTGATTCTAATTAAAAAAGGATGAATTAATTAATTGTTATATAGAAAAAAAAGACCATTTTGGATCGGTGCCCATGAGGTGGCCGCATTAGAGAGGATTTCACTGCATATACTGTTAAAAATTTTTCTCTTAACGTATTTTGTATTAGTATAATAAGACATAAGCACAGATATGAGTTCCACATTTTAGCATCAGGTCTATATGTATGATTAATTGCATTCAATTAAGTAATCTTTTTCTTTGGTAAAATTGGTCTTCCAGCATCTAGATTTTCTTTAAATAATTTAACAATTAAATGCCAATCATATATATGATCAAAATTTTCTTTAAGACGATTAATTAATGTCATTAATAAATTTCTTAAATATCCATAATCTGGTCTTTGTGTATATGATAATGTTCTTGAATATTTATAAAATAATTCAAATTCATATGGTAAATTTGAACAAAGTTCTTTTGATGTTAAACTTTCTTTTATTTCCATTAATTTTTCATTACGTTTTTTTCTATTTGAATTTTTTATTGACATCCAAGGTAAAAAACCTTTAGCTAAATAAATAATTATATAAGATAAACATTCAATATCATCACGTCTTGATTGTTCTAATCCATGATGTGTATATAATGAACAATAACGTGCTGTACCAGTTAAAGTTTTACCAGTTCGATATAAAATATGTTCATATGTTAATGGATGACGATAATTTTTACATAAGCCAAAATCAATTAAATGTACTATATGTGATTTCATTCCAAGACCAAATAAAAAATCTATTTAATAAAAACATAAAGCAATGAACAATTGAGATATCATTTTTCTTTTTTATACGAACTATCAGGTTTTAAATCTCGATGAACAAGTGAATGATTATGTAATGCTTCAATACCACGTAAAATTTGTTCCATAATCATACAAATTGTTTTTAATGAAAATTTTCGTCCACAAAAATTTAATAAATCTTCAACTGATGGTCCTAATAAATCCATAGCAAGAACTGTATATTCATTATGTATACCGAAATAAAACATTTTTGGAATGTAACTACATTCATACATTATTTCAAAAACATATTTTTCTATTGATAATTGTGGACGTGAAGTATTTATATTTTCAAATTTAATGGCAATTAATAGATCATTTTGATTTTTATCTTTAGCCAAATAAACCTTAATTGAATAAAAAAAAAATTATTATACAAAAAAGAAAGTAATGATAAATAATCCAATATACTTCACCAAATCCACCACTACCTAAACGTTTTATTGTTATAAAACGATTTGCTACTATTTGAATTTTATCTAATGATATATTTTTATCAGAATGTTCATTATTTTTAAATTCTATTTTATCATTATTTATTGGTTGAAATGAACTTACTATTGATTTTATAGCTTTTAATTTAGATTTTCGAATTACATCACCTAATGGTGCTTCAAGTTTTAATACATCCGACATAAATTAAAAAAATAATAAATATAATATTTTGCGCTTTTTATTTTGATGTAATTATTGAATAATTTTCTATATGGAAAAAATTGTTCATAAACGACATCACTTTACAGAATTGAAACACGTACATCTCGAAATAATAAACTTTCCTAGAGCGAATGTTTATTTGTTACATATATTTTAAGTTAGCATGATCAAATATAAATATACAAACGAAAAAAGGCTCTTATAACCAAATGAAAAATTCAAAGCCAATTTCAAACTATAAATCTTTCTTGAGAATTTCTAATTATGAAAAGTGAGTTTTATCGTTTTGCTTGAAATGATCCGTAAATGGTATAATTACGGTTTATGCGATGTATAAACACGTGATTTATATGTTTTTCTTGATGATCAACTGATAGACTCGATCAAACTGACACTTTTATTTCCAGACATTAGACATTGTTTAGTTATTTGAAAAATATTACATCGGTAATTTTTGATGGATTTTACACAGAAGCTCTTGTAAAAAGAACCTATATTTTTAGAAGTACGCTTAGTATTTTAATATTTTTATTCAATTGGAAAGCGATAGAAAAAAGTAAGCACCCCAAACAGTGTCTAATGTCTGGAAAAAATTCCAGCGGTATCAGACTTATTGTGGCTGAGAAAGCAGGACTATTTGTAGCCTTTGTGGCTATTACAGATTTTTCAGAAGAAAGAATTTCGGAATTTTGAATCTATAACAACTTTTGCTTTACTCATCAAAGTCTATCTACCTTGAAAATTTCAAATATTTCTGGTAATCTGTTCCTCAGAAACCTTTGTTTCTACAATGTGGACATTTTTTCCTCCCATTAAGAAAAAATGTGTCCGCAATCAAGAAGACACACTGTTTGCCGAGATAATATCAAATCATTATTGATTCGGTTTTTTTTTCTATTTCTGGTTGTATAATATTATATTTGAAGTATCTTTGTTGATGATGAGCTTATGTTTTTAAATCAATATCTATCTTGATTCATAATACTATCGGTGAGTAAAGAAGTGTCCTTGTGTACTATCAAAAAGATTAGATCTCTTTTTGTGTAGAGACAATATAGAACACGTATATAGTAATCGGACACTTAGATTTCTTTCTTTTTCTTTTCTCTCTCTCTCTCTCTTTCAACTTCTAATCACACAATCGTGTTGATTGGAATTTTTCTTTCCTATAGATTTGATTTTGATAGGAATAAAAGGACAAGACACAAGTAGTTTAGAGAACAACAAGATAATCAATGATAATGTCTGTGACTAATTTTTCATAAAAATGTGTGATGATGATAGTCAAGTCATTAATCATGAACAGTTTACTCAATTTACACTACCATATAGATGATGAAGCCATTAGAAAAATGAGAAGAGTGCGCGAGAGAGAAAAGAGTTTCTGTCCGCATTTTTATAACTTCTCTTGTTTCTTCTGTGTCATTGTTTTAAAAGCAATAAAATAGAAGTAACAGTCCTCTTTTCATAGTGACACTTATTGTGTTATTCGGTCACTTGTTCCTACATTTTGAGAATTGTATTATGAAATCCTACGCTCAGTTTAATATATGGTTCACGTAGAGAAAGTGAGTGAATTAATATCTATATGATATAACAACAAGAAGTTGCTCCTTCTCTATTTTTTTTCTTTGTTTCACACCTTTGTATGTCTTGTCAATAGTTCAATATCTCCACTTTCTTGTCGAAGATATTATTTTGTGTAATAGAACAAGTATACAAGTGTATATACATAATGTGAGGAAAAAGAATAGAACCAACGCTTTTATATTTATGTAGGCATCTGTCACTAGAAGAAAAAGAAGTATGAAAACAATTAACTTCTTTTCAAACAACTGGTTTTTTAATAGGTTATGTTAACACAATGAACGTAACACTCGATAAATTAGTTAGAATTCATTTTTTTTCCTTTTTTTTCCTGTCAATAGAAAAGTAAAAGACACATTTTTATTCTAGCACTACTCTTATTATCAATATGAATAACTTTTTTATTTGTAAAAATGGTCAAAATATTTCATGGACATTTGTATGTGATGGCTATAATCAATGTATAGATGGTTCAGATGAACGAAATTGTAATTTATTTCATAATCAAAAAAAAAAAGATTCATTTCAATTTTAATATTCTTCGTTTTTTAGGTTATTGTCAAGGTGATGTGTATGCTTGTTTACAAGGGAATAATGTCAGTTGTAGAATTGCATGTGCAACTTATGGTCGTGTTACTTGTTTAACATATCAAAATATACGAGCATGTGAACAGTATATACAAGAACATAGTTAATAGAATAACAAAGATGACAATATTATTTTTTTTGTCGTAATAAAATTGTTTCTTTTGAACTTTTAGGCAGTGCGATTCATTTTGATATTAGTTCTACGAGTGAATCATTTATATTAACAAATGATTTTGATGCACTTCGATATTCAGCTTGTTTAGCTATGAGTATATTAATACTTGTTTCAATTCTTTCCATACTTATTTATTTAATTCGTAAAAATCCTACAAAATTATTATTCTCTTATACTAATAAATCATTGAATAGAAATATAAATCGAACATCGTCAAATAGATTATCATCTGTTACACAACAACAATCATCTTCATTAAATTTATCGCATTCACATAATACATTAACACCTAATATTAATGATTTACCACCATCTTATGATTGTTTAGAACAAAATTCAATATCGCTAAATGATTGTTATGAACCTCCACCGTATCCTGGTCCATCATTATTTTCATCTGTACAACAATCGCATTCAACCTATTATGAAACAATTAAAACACGAACATTATCAAATTCAATGTCTATGCTACATCCAATGCTTTTGCCTGAACCAAATGTATCAACTAATATTCGAACATATTGTGTATAACGGAAAAAATAACAATAGAGAATATATGCTTGTCTTGTCTATGATTAAAAAAGTATCTTCGTTTGTATTATCGATATCCATCAAAAAGATGACATGAACTATCGGATTCTTCTTATGATTACAGTGAATTTTGATCAAGAATACGATATCATGAAGATTGAATTTCTTTTCATATTTAAAATAAAAAATAAATAAATCTATTTCGAAAATGACTATCCATTTCTAAATATTGTGTATGCTACTGTTTTTTTTTATAAATAATTTTTGATAGAAATATCATAGAGACTTACGGTCTTCATCTTTTCAGAGTGAAAACTCTAGAACTTTTAAAGTATATCGAAATTGAATGGACCAATCATGTGAGTTCTTGATAGAGATTGCCAAAAAAACGATATTCTGAAGCTATTTTTCTTTTGACTTAGATTTCATCGTAAAAAAAAAGTTCATATCTTTCGATTTATACAAAATTGGCATTGATGGCTTGTTTCGTTTGAGAATTATAAGACTTGCTAACAACACTAATTTCAGTCAAGTAACGTGTAAACATCCGAAATAATAGCTAGGCAGGACTCATTCATTGTACTGAGTCAAATTATGACATTTGGTCCTAGATTCGAATTGATCTGACACTGATATCTCAATATTTCCACAATGTTAACTCTTTGGATTTATGGAGGTTGATTGTGGAATTGAGAAATATTAATATAATAGAATCAAGTCAGTTCAAGCCTAAAACCAAATGTCACCATTACACTCAGCATGCTGAATTACTTCTGTCTAGTTGCTTTTTCGAGACATCAATGATCAATTGGATGGGTATAGGTATTGGTCTTCTTTTCAATAACATTGATAACCACACACCCTTTTGAAAGAATGGTGCAAAAATTCGTCATTAGTTTTGTTTTCAGCATAGTATGACAAGAATTTGTCATCGAAACTCAATATTTTCTTGATAGAAAGAGCAAAATTTCTATGAAAAAATTGTGTAAAAACATATCGTTCAAAACACTCACTGAAGACTGAAAAATTTCAATGATATATTTGGTTGGAAAAGTTTATTGCAACTTTATAGAGCATTAGTGAAGAGAAAAGCATTCGATCATTTTATCTGACACTCAACTTTTGAAATTTTTAAGCATATAATGTGTCAGTCTAACCAACGTGATTCAGAGTTTCCAATGGTATCAAAATATGCGATTTATAAAGTCATAGATTCTATAGGAAATAGTTTCATTAAACAATTGATTTTTCCGTTATAATACCCAATGAAAATTTTTCGTAGTGTTTAAAACTACACTCACACTCTCTAGTTACCCTCGAAATATTTTTTGTTGATATTTTACTACTAATATATCATCAAACTATTCTCAGACAATCTTAACAGTAATCTTACAATAATCAAGTCATAATTAGCTGCTACTTTTCGAAGCATAATCCGTTGGATCGATTCCAAACTCTCACCCGATCTAGTGTGGAACCAATATGACTTTCGCTTATAGCCACACATGTAAAATTGTTCTATGTGGATCTGGATATTAGTCGAATATTAATTGAAAATAATATATATTTTTTCTTATTCATTATGTTCAAAACATTTCTACAAGTCTAAAATTGACATATTTTTATTGTTAAACATCATTAAATTTCGAGCAATAAAATTTATTAATTGTATGTAGTAAAAGTATTTAATAAGTAACATAAATGATAATCCCAATCAATACTTGTTACATGCATGCGATCATGTTTGTTGGAGGTTGGATACAACATGGATCAATACCAAATTGACGAATAACATTATTAATGGGAACGTTTTCTATATATAAATAAACAATGAACAAAAACTATGCATAGTCAATTGTTCAATTTCAAATGATTTCTCTCTTTACCGGGTACACTATAAACTGTTGTTTGTCCACCACAATTGCTAATAGTTGGTATACTACAACCATATCCACCTAGTCCAGTGGTTGACTTTGATGAACATACACAAGTTACTGACCTTGCACATGGCTGTTGTTTTTGCATCATAACAATCTTTGATTGAGATTGACACGTACAACATTTACTTGGTTGTAATGTTGAACATGGATTATATGACATCAAAGATGAAGGTGATACCTTAATAAATAATAGAAGAAAAAATTTAATTGAAATTTAACAATAAATATTTACTGTTGAACAAATATGTTGTTTTATATTCGAATGACATGATACTGGTTGACAAGTATATTGTGCACAAGGTTCAGTACGAATTTCACGTTGAATACGTATTTGTGGTTGACCATATTGGACAATCATTGGTCCTGTCGATGTTGGTGGATTAGCAGGAGCACGTTCATAAAAAATACGTCGTTGACGTTGCTTGACAGGAAGCCATCGTTCTATAATAACATCTTGAGGTTTGGGAGGTAACTGAGGATATTGTTCAACGATGACTTGACGTGGAGGTTTTGCTGGAGGTGGTATCACTTTATTAATAACAGTAGTACCTTCGGGTGGTGGCATTGGTGGTGGACGCTTAAAAATATAATTGAAAGGAATAGAAGAAAACAAGAAAAATGTCATAGACAAACTTCACGAATAGTAATCGGTGGTGGAGTTGGAGGTGGAGGTGGAGCACGTTTGATAACCTATGTTGAAGAAAATTTATTATTGACTAATGAATGAATATATTGAATTACAAGAGGTGGTTCAGGAGGTGGTGGTGGTAGTTGTTTTTCTCGAACAATAATTGCTCCACTAACAGGTGGAGTTGGCGGTTGTAAATATCTTACAAAAACCTATTATTTATTAGTAATAAATTCTTATTATAGACATATGAATAATATTAATTACTCGTTGTTTGTATAAGACGTCATCTTGTGCTGGTCGTTGTACAACACGAGTATTTGGATCATATCGCATAGCCTATTTATTTAGACAAAAATACAAAAAGTAAAAGTTTAAATAGTTAATATTCAAGTTTTGATTTACTTACTTCAACATCCCTATCAACACATAGTGGATTTGTATGTGGTGCTAAAAATTCTGTAGGAGATGTAATAAAATTATCAGGTCTATACGAAGGATTATATGGTAGAGTATTGAAATTCTCATTTCGAGAAAAAGACATTGAACGGTTATATGAATCACAATAAGGATCAATTCTATTATAATCACGTGGAGGTATTGGTGGTGGTGGTGATATCGATGGTCTCATAGGATATGATTGATTATGTTCATCGAGTAAATGTCCATGGCCACCCCGACGAAGCCAGTCGACCATACATATATCATGTGACACATCTTCTAAAGGCATTTCTTATGATAGTATTCTTCACTTATTATACATCTAGAACGAGGATACTCTCTCAGGCATAGATAAATATATGTATATATTTGTTTGAAACTGTGGGGGAGGAAAACTAATCAATTGCCGTTTTCGTAGACACCACAATCATATTGTGCATCGATTCAATAAAAAAAAGCATGATCAAGTGTCTGTACTTCATTTCTACATACATATATATAGATATGTCCTTCTATGGTAGTTGATTTTTATCGTTGCATCTTTCTCTCGCGTGTATATTCTTTACTACAAAACAGAACCAGATTTTTTACAAAGTTACCTTGACGGAAAAGGAGAGTGAAAAAAAATTATTTGTAGCTTAGTTATTCGTTCCAAACGGATTATGCTTTGACTTATTGTATTGTATATTTCTTATATTGTTACATATAGAAGGTCATATATAATTATATGAAGGATGTTTTTTTCTTTCTTTCGTTTTTTTTTAGTATTCCATCATGAATATATGGATATATAATATTTATCAATGACTCATTGATGTGTAAGCATTCTGAACAATAATATAAATTATAAGTAGATGACAATGCATTGAATGATAATCCGATAACCTACAACAAGTATCCATGAATAAAATGCATAAATAGTTTGCATTTATGTTAATTCGACATAAAGTAACACGAAAACCCGCAGATGATCAAAATTTAAACATGAACAATCTTAATAAAATTTTTATTTTTCAATTTTGATCAAATTCAAATCAAAATTTTGTATAAAATTAATATAAATTGGTGTGATTGAAAAAACTATTAGATTTTATCATAAATCTATCCGAAAAAGAATTTGATAACTATTTATAAATTATTTTCATAATTATTTCCATGAGAATGCTATCGATTTTTTAGACATATTAGTTGTATTCAAGTATATATCGATCATTAGCTAGACATCCTTCATAACTGTCCTTTCTTCATGTATTTTTCTAACCTTGGATTTAACTTGCTTCTTTTTTTTATCAAATTGAGTGATCATTGTTTTGTATTAATATTCTTTTTCTCATTTAGAATTGGAAACAAAATTTCTCATTTAAGTTACACTAAATTGCTCAAACATTATTAAAATAAGGCATATGCATTATACAATATTTCTGCGTATGGCAACTAACGTCACCAGCAAATGTTTTTTCTTTAATAGCATGGTACTTGACAAGCCGATGTTTTTCTTTTTCATCCATCTATGAAAAAATATAGTTTACGCGTCATTTTGACAAAACTAAAAATTAACTCTCACAAAATAGATGTTTGTTCTTCGAATAGAATCATTTTCGAATGAATATTGCAAAAATATGGTACATTTTTTTTCAATGGCAACGCCACCCCGTCATCGATATGAAATAATGTCCATTAAAAACACTTGTGCACTTGTATTATGACATGACTGATTCTGATTTGCATCGTTATTCATTTTTGTTTCTCATCTTTATAACGTAATCTTGAATATAGAACTTTGTTTGAATATCTCAGACTTCTTTGAACATGCACTTATTCCATCTATATTTATTCTTTGCTTGTATATTTGTGATATGCAACGGTAATAATTAAAACATTATTTCTCTCGAAATCTTTTTGTTTTCGAAATAAAAATTTATTCTTTAATAGGTAAATGTCCTACGGCACCAGTATTTGCTTTCATACAAAGTTCATCAATCTCAAAAACAATGTCCATCAATGGTAAATATAATTTACTAACAGATGGAATTGACAATAGTACTGTATTAACTGGAGCATATGTACCAATGATGTGCAATAAAGGATATGTACATGCAGGTGGCCAGCTTAATATAACATGTACTGATAATGCATGGACTACGTTTCCCACCTGTGTTGCGATCACTGTTCACGATTCACTCATGATTGCTTCTTCACCTGCATCTAATGCTTTACCTTGCACAATCGATGTTACAACATTTAACATTACCAATGGATATTCTTCTAATGCATCATTATCATCTGTATCGAGTAACGCAGTGACTGGTAATGAGATTACAATCATTATTCTACGAATCCTATCGAATATATTCTAGGATGGATTCAGTTTGCATGCATGCCTGGCTATGCACTAGATTCAACGGTTGGTGCATTATATACTTGTAACAATGGTGTTTGGTCTACTAAACCACGATGCTTAAGTAAATGAAATAGTTTGCATATACCTTTTAATATTCTACGTATTTATTTTGTAAAGTAACTGGTCGATGTTCATTTTCTGCATTGCAAGACTTTATAATGAATGCAACTGGTTTACAAACTACCGGTCAAAGTCAATTGATGCAAGCTTCACAAGAAACAAGCTTAGTTCTTGACGGTTCTTATATTGTAGTCGCTTGTGGGAATGGTTACACAAATATGGGTGGTAGCTTAAATATAACATGTTCTGCAAGTGGTTCATGGAGTCCTTTTCCTCGTTGTGTTTTGAATAGTGGCAGTGGTTCTGAGACTACTCCTATGGTACCTTCAGGTAATGCTTGTGTAGTAGATGCAACAACACTTAACACTACCAATGGATATTATTCTAACATATCACTTTCATATACGTCAAATACTACAGCGACTGGTAACTAGATTATATTCACTATTCTACGAGTCATATCGGTTATATTCTAGGATGGATTCAGTTCGCATGCATGCCTGGCTATACACTTGATCCAATGATCGGTGCATTATATACCTGTAATAATGGTGTCTGGTCCGCTAAACCACGATGTTTAAGTAGGTGAAATAGTTTGCATAGATCTTTGAATTTTCTACGTATTTGTTTTATAAAGCTACTGGTCGGTGTTCATTTTCTGCATTGCAAAACTTCATGAACAGTAATACTGGTTTACAAACTACCGGTCAAAGTCAATTGATGCAGGTTCCACAAGAAACAAACGTCGTGCTTAGTGGTTCTTATATTGTCGTGGTATGTATGAATGGTTACACGAATATTGGTGGTAGTTTAAATATAACATGTTCTGCAAGTGGTTCATGGAGTCCATTTCCTAATTGTGTTTTGAATGGTGGTAGTGGTTCTCAGACTACTCCTATGGTACCTTCAGGTAATGCTTGTATAGTAGATACAACAACATTGACACTTACCAATGGATATTCTTCTAATGCATCATTATCATCTGCATCGAGTAACACAGCGACTGGTAACTAGACTATATTCACTATTCTACG